AATTAGTAATTTTAATTTCTTTATTTTCTTTAATGTTAAATCCATCTTGTTATGCTTTTGCCTTCTAAGGTTGTATAATTTTTGGCTAAAAATCAAATAAAACCAAAAGTTCTAATTTTATTTATACAACTCCCTTAAATTCTTGTATTAAAACTATTTAAGGAGTCATAACAAAGATTATTCCAATAGAAAAATTTAAGTCTTCGCTATATCTCCAGATCAATAATAAATTGTCATTATCTTAATTTGAAGGAGAAATGACAACTGTACGTTGCTGTTTAAAACAAAGAGACTAATTTTTATCACCGAAGATGTTTAGAGAAGCTGAAGAGTTTGCTGAATAAGAGAAATTAATTCAATTGATGCCAAGAACTCTATAGAAAGTTTAATTTGTTTAATGTAAAATTATAATCATATGGCTAAAAAATTATCTGATAATGATAAAGATACTATTTAAGGACGCATTTAAGAATAGCTAACTTTGATTAGATAAAGTGCTGCTCAAGATGAAATAGCTTGTTATAAAGAACCTTGAGTTTTTAATAATAATACCTGTGGAACTCAAACCTGCACATCATATCACAACGAATCAAATGTAATTCTATTTAAACATTTGATAAAAAACTATCACAGTCTGTGTACCTGATGGAAAAGGTGCATGTATTTAAGGAGGTGCTTCATCTCTCTCATCAAGCCTACGCTTTGAAATGAGTGGCAGAACTCATTCATGGAATCCATCTAAAAGTAAATGCGAAAAATGTGCTAAAACGAATACTAACATTAATTCTACATAAAATTCAGAGGAAGGTGAGGAAGAAGAAGATACAACATATGCCATCTCTTTGACAACAACATTCCTTGTCATATTTGTTTCATATCATTTTGAGAATCTTAAGTTTTTATTGATTAAATATAGTATACAATATAGTGTCATTTTTTTTTATTATCTTATTCTTTTTTACTCTTAAACAATTAAGACATAACAATTTATAAATTAGAATAAAATTAAACATATTTAACTTATTACTTATTATAATTATACAAGATTAATTTGTTTTTGGTGTTATTTAATAAAGTTATTGAATAAGAAGATAAGCATGAAAAAAATTTATTTTTATAATAAAACTACTTTAAATCCATATTTGGGATGGAATTGAATTAAATGTAGAGAAAAAAATTAATGATTCATTTATGGAAATAAGAAAAGTATCTAAACATTTAGGAAAAGTAAAAATTTTTTGTTTATTTATTTCCTAACAAATTTTTTATTTCACGATTATACTTTAAAACCGATAGAACATAAAATTTATCATAGTTGTAACAAGTTATTCAAAGAAATAAAAGAGAGCAGAAAAATTAACTATTCAAAATAAGGAGAAAAAAAGGAGAAAAGAAAATATTTAAGGAAGAGATGAAATAGACAAGACAGGAAACGTAGTAGAATAAGAACAAAAATAAACATCAAATGTCATTTGCAAGTAATCCCGTAGGAATCAAATAAAAGAATTCTCCATTGAAAGAGAGTAAAATAAACCAGATTGTATTTGAAAGATACTCCAGACTTCCTTTCTAGTAATGTCATCATCTAAGTGGTATTGAAGATGTCCTTAACAAAATATAATACTACAAAATTTTTCAAACTGAAATAAAATGAGGTCAAAGAATCTCTGTTTTACTTGTTTTGAAAATGGTAGTCTATATATGCTAATCTCAATAAATTTAAGAAGAGACTCGAATCTTGCTAAAGTGATCTAATATTTTGTATAGAAGTTTGCCTTGAAGTTTCTTGGCAATCAAAAAATTATATATCAATTATAAATTTAATATATTAAAAAAATTCACAGAATCTATCATCATCAATGATAACAATATTCTCTTGAAATATTCAAGTCCAAATAATATTTAACTATATAAAAAACCGCATAATATCGAAAATGATTTGATTAAAAGATGAAAATCTCGAAATAGTTCAGCAAATAGTGAATAATTGACTCAAACACAAATCTGGCCAATATAGTTATAATAAATAAATTATACCATTAATAGTTAAAATTTATTTAACTTATTTATTTATATGGAGTTAAATAATTTTAATTTTTCTTCAAGTTAAATAATCAATAATTAAAAGCTTAAAATTTAAGCAGTTTTTAATAAAAAAACTATGATTTTACTTTTTTTTATGAATTGTAGTNTTTAACTTATTACTTATTATAATTATACAAGATTAATTTGTTTTTGGTGTTATTTAATAAAGTTATTGAATAAGAAGATAAGCATGAAAAAAATTTATTTTTATAATAAAACTACTTTAAATCCATATTTGGGATGGAATTGAATTAAATGTAGAGAAAAAAATTAATGATTCATTTATGGAAATAAGAAAAGTATCTAAACATTTAGGAAAAGTAAAAATTTTTTGTTTATTTATTTCCTAACAAATTTTTTATTTCACGATTATACTTTAAAACCGATAGAACATAAAATTTATCATAGTTGTAACAAGTTATTCAAAGAAATAAAAGAGAGCAGAAAAATTAACTATTCAAAATAAGGAGAAAAAAAGGAGAAAAGAAAATATTTAAGGAAGAGATGAAATAGACAAGACAGGAAACGTAGTAGAATAAGAACAAAAATAAACATCAAATGTCATTTGCAAGTAATCCCGTAGGAATCAAATAAAAGAATTCTCCATTGAAAGAGAGTAAAATAAACCAGATTGTATTTGAAAGATACTCCAGACTTCCTTTCTAGTAATGTCATCATCTAAGTGGTATTGAAGATGTCCTTAACAAAATATAATACTACAAAATTTTTCAAACTGAAATAAAATGAGGTCAAAGAATCTCTGTTTTACTTGTTTTGAAAATGGTAGTCTATATATGCTAATCTCAATAAATTTAAGAAGAGACTCGAATCTTGCTAAAGTGATCTAATATTTTGTATAGAAGTTTGCCTTGAAGTTTCTTGGCAATCAAAAAATTATATATCAATTATAAATTTAATATATTAAAAAAATTCACAGAATCTATCATCATCAATGATAACAATATTCTCTTGAAATATTCAAGTCCAAATAATATTTAACTATATAAAAAACCGCATAATATCGAAAATGATTTGATTAAAAGATGAAAATCTCGAAATAGTTCAGCAAATAGTGAATAATTGACTCAAACACAAATCTGGCCAATATAGTTATAATAAATAAATTATACCATTAATAGTTAAAATTTATTTAACTTATTTATTTATATGGAGTTAAATAATTTTAATTTTTCTTCAAGTTAAATAATCAATAATTAAAAGCTTAAAATTTAAGCAGTTTTTAATAAAAAAACTATGATTTTACTTTTTTTTATGAATTGTAGTTGATTATATATATTTTTGCTGATTTTAATAAAGTAGTAGAGTTAAATTATTTTAATCTTAGTTTAAAGGCTTGATTCAATAATCTTTATGTCTTATTCATATTTTTAACTTCCTCCTATCAAACATATTTAAACTTAGAAAAACACTCAATTATGAGATATGTTTTAGTTTAAAGCTTGTTGCTTTTTAGAGGAAACCCCTATTGATTCTCAAATTAATTCAATATCATTTATTTTAAATAAAATTGAGCAGACTTTGATGCTTCTAAATTTTTTTGACTCATTGCTTTTTATGATTTTTGTTAAGTAAGAAAATAAGCAAATAGTAGATATGTACAAAATTATTGTGAATTTTTATACTTTGAGTCTATGTTAAGCACAAACAACAATCAATTGTCTTTTGATTTTGCCTTATCTAAAGAATTTATTAAAGGTTTGACGAATACAGGATTTGGAGTTTGGATGAATTATTAGCCATTGAATTACAAAGTAGAATAATGTATAAAAATATTTGAATTTTATTTTAGACAATAGGGTCTCTTAAAACATCAGTTTTTTAAATAAATAAATTCTTATAGAAGGAGGACAATTTATATATTCAATAGAACAAAGTCATGATAACTATAAGTGGTTAGTAGTTTCTGCTGATATTGATTCAAATAAATAAAAAATTAGTCACAAAGTTTTTTACTCTTTTAAAACTTTAAGTAACACTTTGTCATTCGAATTTGATAATTTTTTATATGAAGGATAATGGATAATGTTTTATTGTTATTTTAACAATATATTAAGATAAACTCAAATTGGATTTTACAATATTTAAGAGAGTTTATCTATTTAAGTTGTAAATGATTTACCTGAATATGTATAAAAAATAAAACATAATTTGGGAAATATTTATTCATACAAAAATTAGGACGAAAATTTAATATTATTAAATCAATTCTAGGGACTTCTAACCAGCGTTTTTTCAGGTGGTTAGGAGAATGTGTTCTTAGATTTAGATTCATGTTTATAAGAATTTTTTAGTTATCCTAAATGTTTAGAGGTAAATTATAGGATTGGTGAAAAAACTTAAAATTAAGAAATGGATGGAAGTTAATATCTTAAAATTGAATCTTAGAATTTTGAAAGCCCAAGATATGTTTTGAAAGGATGGATTATGTTAAAATAATCAATTAAGACTTTTTAAGAGACTACAATATTTAGAATAACTATTAATTAAGATTATACTGATGATTTTAAAATAGGAGATAGAGATCTATTATTAAAATATTATTAAAGTAGTATACCTCCCAAGAATGGATTTTAAATATCAACTTACTCATATGAATTTCCTATAAAAAAGAGATACAAGACAAATGAAGATGATCAAATTAATTAATTTGGTAACGAATATTAAGAGTTGTTAATACTATGGCATTATTTTTAATTTGAAATAGGAACAAAAAATAATAATGAATAGCCAATATTGTCTATCTTTTTTCCTTCGATTGATTAAGTTCGCTATTTTACATGGAATAAAACTATACGTCATTTCTCTGGTACTAAATTTTATGTTTTTTTTGGAGGTGATGATTATACTATAAATTATTTAAGAGGATCTATAAGGGATATTGAATTTTAACAATTATGCAAACCATAAATTATTGAATATAAACCTTCATGTCATTATTCTTGTTTAACATGTGATGGACCAACAAAATATAATTGCCTAACTTGCCCATATCAAAGTTTTAGATAACTTTCAAAAAAAGAGAAAACTTGTACTTGTTAATAAAAATTTGTTGATAAAGTAGATGTTTAAGAATGTTAATCAGTAATTTAAGCATTTCCTCAGATATAGATTTAAGAAATAGAACTAAATTGTTAGCTATAAGGTTATAGCAATTGTAATTAAGATAATATCGAATGTAATTTTGGATATTTCGAATATTAAAATATGTGTGTTTAATGGTATTATATATTTAGTATTAAAGCCCTTATTACTATGAAGTGTATTCTGGTACTTAAATATCTTGTTTGGATTGCTTCATATCACCAAAATAATTTAAAATTACATTAACTTGTAAGATGAAAGCACAAACTTATTACTTAAATTCAGACTACTTATATTAAGTTCAATAAAGAGTATAAAATGATTATCTATTCTATGAAATTTAAACAAATATAGAAGGAACTCATGAACTTAAATTGTGTCAAGGTTGTGTTAGTTAAGAAAAATGTAAGAGTGGATTCTATTTAGAAAATACAGAATGTAGGTCTTGCTTATATGGATGTTAGACTTGTTAAAATTCATTTGAATGTGAAGCTTGCTTTTCCAATTTTTATCTAAGTAAGGAAAAATTGTGCATTTAATGTTAAGATTGTTTAAATTGCTACTATTTGTAAGATGGAATATGTTATTGTGTCAGCTGTTTAGAAAATTCAATAATAATTAATAATAAATGTATATCTTGTGGGGATTATTGTTAGGAGTGCGATGGATCAAGATTTTGTCATTATTGTATAGGGTCACCTTAGTAATATTATTTATCTATGGATGGAAAGAATTGTGCTTAATGTAATATTGAAAATTGTATTTACTGTTTTGATTACATTCTTAGTGGTGATCTATTACAAACAAATTTAGATATCAATTTTAAAGTGATAGATAGCAATTTTCAATAAATAAATGTAGGTTGTGCACTTTGTAAAGAGAATCACCATTACAATTTTAACAATTAAAAATGTGAATTAAAATTTATAGATGATGATTGTTAATTTGCCATTATCTAAAATGAAAATTAAAAAAGGACCTGTCTAATCAGCATAATTAATGATGATGCTATTTAAGTATCTAATTGCTTAATGATATCTAAATGTATTTCATGTATTCACAATTATACAGAAAACGAATCATTTTGCATAATATGTGAAGATGGATATTATTCAGCAGTCCTTACTGGTAAATGTATTTAATGTGGTCAAATTTGTAAGACTTGCATTTAATAAAATAAAAAATACAGAGATTATTGGAAATGGAGTATAAAAGCTTTTTATAAATTTGTTATTAATCCTAATAATGACCATCCATTTGAAAATTATGCAACAACCTATTCTGATACAGATTTGAATTTAGTATGCACATCATGTCATTATGGATATATTTTATATGATTAATAATGCATACAGGGTTGTGATTAAACTTGTAATATATGTGAAATTATTGATGGAAAAGCTATGTGCATTTAATGTTTGGAAACTATTTCTGGTTTTATTAAAAGTTCAAATAACAATCGAAGCTGTATGCAATGTCCTTCTAATTGTAAAGCCTGTATAGATAGAAGTGAATCAGAAATATACGAAGTTAACCCTTATTTTATTTTAACTGATTAAAATAAATTTTAGACTCGAATATGTTATGAAAAATCATAAGCTAACAATACATAAGAAAAATTTTATTATGATTCATTTACATAAACAGTAGTTGTTTGTAACAAATATGATTCATGTTACAATAAAATTATTATTCTTTAAAACCTTTACTGTGATGCTTCAACTTATTTAGAATAGTAATAAGAATCAAATGATCAATATTTTGAGAGCAAAAATGTTATAATATCAGACTTTTCTGGTTATGGATATTTTGATTAGTTAGAGAAATCTTAATTTTTTGATTATTTAAATGAAATTTCAGCAAGACACATTTAATTCGAATATACCTTGATCTAAGGTCCAAATTAACCATGTCTATTAAAAAATAAATAGATTTTTTCTACCCTAGCTTAATACGTATTTTCCATATAATAAATTGATATTAAATTTAAAGGAAGATTATTATAGTCAACCCATTCAATAACTTTAACTATCATTTCTTAATTAAAAATTAGTAACTTTACAACCATAAGTTTTGAAAATATCAATTTTTATTTTGGAGACAATCAAAAAAATTCTTTAATTATTAATTCTGCTATTTATATTAATAATTTAAATAGCAAGACAACTTTAAACCTAACAGACTGTAAATTTGAAAGTGATAGTGCTATAACAACTGGTTAATTCTTTAAAATTGAGTCAAATATCCCTTATTCCCTATAAATAACAAACTTTGTAATTACTAATATTAATATGTATTAATCTGATATTTTTACTTTTATATCCTCTAACAAACCTTCTTAAAATTACGTTAAAATATCAAATATGATAATCAGAAATTCCATTTTTACTAATTCTACATTATTTAAATTCGAAGCGAAAATTAATTATCTTCAATATTAATCCAGATTAATAAATATTAGTATTATTGATACTACATTTATTTTCTCTAACTTCTTCATTTGTAATGGTTTATTGAATTATACAATAGGAACTTTACAAATTCATTCAATGTCTTTGTACAACACTAAAATTTTGCATAATTCAAGCATTTTTTTTATACCAAATATTGAATCAGCAATTATTACCTCGTTTAGTTTAATAGATTCTCAACTTAAAGATAATTCATTAATTTATTCAAGTAATGTGATAAATTTATAAGATTGTATTATAAATCAAACACTTATAGAATCAAGTAGTTTAATAAATAATAAAGTTGATTACACAAAATCTAAAGTAGCTTTAAATTATTCATAGACGATTTTACTGAAGAACTTATAAGTTTTAAATTGTAATTATAATAACAAATAGCAAATCATAAGCATTCTAAAATATGATGAAATAGATAAATTAATATTTAATTTGACTAATTTCAAAATGTAAAATTGTATATCTAATACAAAGCTATAAAATACTTAGGTTTCTTTTGATTAAGTAATGATATATATTGAATGTCAACTTTGTAATTTATAAAATGTATAAATATAGAGAGGATATGGATTCCCTGAAATGACTATAATTAATTCAAATACTCTAGAAATAAGAAATTTTTAATTCTCTTAGGATCAAAGATATTTTTCAAATGTTTTACATTCAACTATAGATTGTGTATCAAAATTTGCTATTTTGGAACTATATTTCTTTTTGTATGTTGGTTAATATAAAAGTATTGTTATTGATAATTTAAATGTTTCAAACTGTTTAAGTTTCAATACTCCGTTGGTTATTTTAAAAGGTTATGATTTAATGCAGAGTCTTGTGGAAGAAAAAATATATATTCTAGATTCTTAATTTAGTTCAAATTTACTAATAATCTCAACAAGGAATAAAAATACTGCTATAGTTTCCATAGAATCAAAATAAAAAGGACTTATAACCATATTTAATACAATTTTTTCATATAACCATCTAAATCAATATAATTAAACCTTGTCTTAGATTTCTTCCACTACATTATTATTGTCTTTAAAGTATGGAAATGTTAGTCTATTGAATTGTTAGTTTTATTAAAACTTGGTAACAAACTCAACTGATTCAATCTTATATATTGATTCAGAATAACTATATATTAAGGATTCCAATTTTAAATACAACAACATTATAAATTACACTTTATTGAGTAGATATACATTATTATCAAGTACTTAAAATATAACTTTAATTAACTTTTAATTCATATTTTCAATTAAATCAAGCAGTGGGAATGGTATGATAATATCTAATTTAATAGTAATTGAAAATGTAAAAATAGATTCCTCTAATTCTATTTTTGGAGGTGGCTTTTATATAATTACAACTGGTATTAGCATTATTAATATTACTAATTCAGAATTTTCAAATACTAAAACCACTCTATCCTACTTATATTTTTCTAAAGGTGGTTGTTTTTATATTGATGCTGGTTCATCTGAATTAACTCTAAACATTAAGAATGTTACATTTAATACATCATTTAGTAGATATGATGGTGGTGCAATTTATATAATTCCATCAGAAATTTCTAATAAAATTGAATTTGATTAGTTGATTGTTTAGGATTGCTTTTCAATTTATAATTAATTTTTTTCATATGTTCTTTCCAAAAAAGAAACTGTCTTATCTTAGATTATTTTTAAAAATATTATTTTCTATTCAACTTAAGAAGGACTGGAAAATTATTATTCATATTTAGATGGTATAACTGAAGATGATGTTTAAAACATTATTAAGTCAAATCCATTAGTTTTTATTTAATATGGAAACTTTAGTATATATAATTGTACTTTTCAATCAATTTATATGTAATTTTTACTTAAAATTGCACACGCATTAAATTTATTTATATTTTATTTTGTTATTAAAAACAAAGTAATTAATTATATTTGAATGTTTGAAATAAGAATCAACAGTATAAGCTTAGCACATTTTATTATCAAATATAAAGATTATCAATTGTACAATAGGATTTTCACCTCTAATTCAATTAAACTTAAGATAATGTAATTATATGATAAATATTCGTAGTATATGCTGGTAATTTATAAATATTTGATCTTTAAATAACTTAAGTTTATCAATAAATAAAGACTGAAAAAAGAGAGTGTTTAGCAGTTTCTACAACATTTCTGTTTTAGTTAGATTGTCCTCTTAAAATAACTTAAATGAATGTTTAAATTATAGAACATATTGATAATTAATCAAAATTAAATCAACTAATTTGTAATCAGTTTAAAATTTTTAAAGATTTATAGTATACTTTTAGTTTAATTGAAATAGAACAAATTAATGTTGGACAAAAATTAACAATAGAAAAAATGTATATTTAAAATATTCAATGTATCAAATGTTAATTTGGTTTGATAAGTATTGCTGATGTTGAATAATAAAATGAATAAAACATTAAAATAACTTAAATATTGATTTAAAATAGCAATTGTGGTAGGACTGGTTGTCTTTCAGTTATTAAAAATAGAAATGAGTTAAATATTCAAGATCTTACTTAAAATTATAGAAGATTGTAATAACACAATTATGAAAATCTTTTAAATAGCATCAATAATTAAATGATTATAGAAGAAAGTAAATTTATAAATAACACTGCATTGTATGGTGGTTCGCTTTTAGTAATTAGGATTAATACTATAATAAGGGGTTGCATTTTTTAAAATAATTTTGCAGATATTGGAGGTGCAATTTATTATGAATCTGAAAAAGAAGAAATATAAATTTTAAATTCTAAAATAATTGAAAATAATGCAAAGATTGCAGGAGGTTTATATTTAAGTTCTTAATCACTTCAATTAACTAAGTAATTAGATTTATAATTGGATTATAATAATTCAACCTTATATGGATCAAATGTATTGGAAAAACCAAGATCATTAACATTATTAATTTATGAAGGTTTAACATTAATGGAGAAGAAAAAAATAAAAAATCATATTAATGAAATTGTTGAACAAATTATTATTAACCCTTATAAGATTTTTGGTTCCTCTTCTGAATATTCATAATTAATATTGCCTTCTGGAATAAGAATAAAGAATTATAGGTATTTTGATCCAATAAAATCTGAATTTATTCCTTATAATTTTAAATTCAGAATTATTGCTTTAGATAATTTTTAAGAATAAATTATGGGTTTGTCAGGTTCTTAGTGTACTTTATAACCATATGGTTATAATTTAAGTTCTTAAAAAGAGGAATAGGATGTTTAATTTAGTTTATCTTAATATGATGTCATATTTGATGATTAAACAGGTGATTATAATTTAGATAATCTAATAATATACTTCAATCCTACTTATGATCAAGATATTGTACTAAGATTATAAATATAATGTAATAGTGTTTCTGTACCTTTATATTAAAATAATCCACCTTTTTAAATTTATGATTATGTTACAAATTATAAATTATAAGTTGATATTCGAACATTTCCTTGTTAATTAGGTGAGTTTTTAAATTAAACTTCTGGAGGATGTGTTCTTTGTGATAAATTTTAAAATTAATACTAAGTATCTAAGACAGCTTAAAATTGTAGTTATAAAGATGATAAAAAAATAAAATCAGTAGAATCAAGCATGATTGAATTAAGAGAGTATTATTGGAGAGCTTATTATTATAGTGAAAGAATTGAATATTGTTATCATTTAATAGAGAATTGCAAAGGTGGTTGGAGATCAGGAGATGATTCATGTATATTAGGACACATAGGAGCATTATGTGAATAGTGTGATTTATATAATTCTAGAGGAAGTGGATCTTATTGTGTAACTTCAGCTTATTAATGTGGAAGTTGTCATGAAATAGCTTATTATGTTATTACAATAATATTTGTGAGTATTTGGACTTTGATTTCAACTTTGATGTCAGTAAGTAGCACAAAAATAATAATTGAAGAATTTATTAAAGGAATGAGTTTAAAGGCTTTTGGAATAAGATTAGCAATAAAAGAAGCTCAAACTGCTATTCTTATTAAAATATTTACAAATTATCTTTAAATTATATCAACCATTTCTACATTTTAATTGTAAATTCCAGTAGGATTAACCTCAGTAATCAAAAATGTTGGTAATCCTATTGAGTCACTTGCTTATTCTCTAGATTGCTTCTTAGTTAACATAACAGATATTTAAATAATATACTTTCGAATAATTTGGTGCTTAATTATTACTTCTTCTTATTTAATTGTTATTTTTAGTTTTATTGCAATCACAATAGTTACTAAACTGATAAAATTCAACTTTTCTTTTATTTCTACATCTTTAATATATTTATTCATATTTTTATAACCAAATTTAATTGGAATTACAATATCATTATTATCTTCCAGAATCATTTCAGATGAATAATGGATTTAAGGAAATGTTGCTTATAGATATGATACTATATAACATTCTAAATGGGCTATCACTTTTTGTTTACCTTTACTTATAACTTTTGGTTTCGTACTTCCTGCCTTTTTATGGTATGGACTTTATAAAAATAAAGATCATCTAGATTTTTCATTAGTTAGAAAAAGATGGGGATATTTGTATAATGAATATAGGATTCATGTCTATTTCTGGGAAACATTCAAGATAATGTAAAAAGAAATTATTATTATTGTTTTGGCTTATTATGATGATCTTGTCCCTATTAAAGCATCTTTAATATTTCTAGTTTTATTTGGCTATAGTTTTATAGCAATTAAATAAAAACCATATATGACTGGATAATTAAATTTAATTGACACATAATCAACAGTTATTTGTGCTATATCAATTATTTTGGCTAGTTCAATATATACAGCAAAATAATAATAGTTGAATGAAATTATATGGCCCTTTTATATAATAATTACCCTCCTTAATACTTACTATATGCTTAGAATGATTATATTAATTCTATTTGCATATTTCCACAAACTTCATGATAAAATAGACATTTTAAAAGAATTTATATCAAAATAATTGCCTATTGTTCAATCTAATCCTTCTTTCAAAAAATTATTTGACACTCACAAAAATTAATAACTCAGAATTAAACAAAATTTTGCCAAGTTGAGAGACTACCTAATACCTTAGGCTCATTTAATGATAGAATTTAAAAAGTAAAATTCAATAATATTTATTTAGATTAAAATTAATACAACCATCTTCAACAAATAATTTTATAAAAACTTATGTTAAACAGAAAAGTGAAACTCAATAATAATTTTCTGCTGAAATCTCTCATGCGAATAGTCCTAATCATTTAAATATTCTATAACAGAGTCATGCCAAAAAAAATGAATTTTCATTTCCAAATTCAAAAAGAGAATAATAATCATTTTTTATTTCGTTCCAAAAAGATAATAAGAAACAACGCTAAAACGCTGAAAATCGAAAAGGAAAAAATGTTTGATTTAACGAATTTCAAAAATATTTCATTCATATTTTAAAATTTTATTAATTCTTAATTGAAAAATGTACATTATTATCTCCTAATTGAAGTTATTATATTATCTATACTTCTCCTAAAATTTAAATGAATTCCTTATAAAATCTGTTCAATATTTGATTAAGCCATTTTAAGGTAAACTTTTATTTTAATTATTATCTCTAATTATATATATATTATATAATTAATTCTAATTAAATGTACTTAAAGTAAAATTTTTATGGAATTTTATACGAATCAAAAGGAGTTCCATGGCTATCTATTTCTATAAATGCTTATCTTTAGATTTTTTATTGTCTATTACTTTTGATTGTTTTTAATAAACTTAAAACTTATCTATTCCGATAATTTTTTTCAATATTTTTTTTCTGATTCGACTTTAATAAGAATTTTTATTAACAAATTCAAATTCTTTATTTATTGATTATTTTAAGTTTTCGAAAATTATATCATATTAGATTAATATCAGATATTTGATTTTATCTTTTTTTTACAATTTTTTCAACATATCCTAATTCATAGTGCCTTAATTATCAATAAATTCTAATTTTTAAGAAATTAATAAAAGTGTTAAAAAATTAAGTTAATAAAGAAAAATATATAATTTCAAAATTAAAGAGGAGACTTTATAAATATAATTATATCTAACTTAAATAATGATTTTGATAATAGATAAAAAACTAGAAATCTATCTAAAAATATAATTTCAATTTATCAAATTTCTCTAACAAATAGCTAAAGTTTATTATTAATATAGCTTTTTTCCAATTTAATTTATTTTAATAATTATTTCTATTTGTAATTTTGAACTATTTTTATTACATGCTCTATTAGGTCAATTATTAGAGTAATGGACAATAGAGCAACAAATGAATAGATATGGATCCATCCAAATAATAAAAATTAATCATCGTCTAATACCATGCTATAAACCAGAAATGATCCTGTTATTAACATTAAAAAAAGCTCTTTGAAGATTTACTTAAAAAATTCATATTTTGATTTCAATGGTTTAAATTTGATTATGAATATTAGGAAATAAAATGATAACATTGATAATAATATTGATTAAACTTCTGGATAATTCATAAACTCTACGATAATTGTAATATAAAATTAAATTCTTAGAATTTAAAAAGACTTAAAATTTGTTCCCCAAAACCTACCTTAAATTCCTTAATAAAAGTATCTCCATTTATTTTTATTTTTAATTGAACTTGAAGTAATCGCAATTAATTTAAATGATATAGTGATAATCAAAATTAAAGCTAAAATGGCATTTGCAGAATTGATTATATTAAAAAAGGTATTAAACTGATAATTAGGGAACTAAAGTAAAGCACTAAAGGTAAGTTAATGAATTATCGAATAATATGCTTAAAAAATTATTTCCCGAAAGAATAATAATTTTAATTTTAGACAAGTCAAAAAGAAGTATTTTTAAAAGATCCTTAAACGTTTTAATGAATTGAAATTGTGGAAATATTATGAAAATTTTCTTCCAAGAAAATAATGAATCAATTATGATGAAATAATGCAACAAATGATATAAGTAGCAATAGAAGTTAAAATAGAAAAATAACAACTTTTAGCATTAATTAAAAAAAAACAATTTAAAGGATCTTATTCTTTGCTTAGAGTTGATTATTTGGTTTGAAATGGGAATATACCACCATTTAATTTAGATAATTATTGATCTACTTCAAAATAGTCAAAAATAGGTTTCAGAGAAATTTTTGTGAAAGTATTTAAAAACTGTTTCAAATGAGGGGGAAACGTGTATTTCATATATCTGATATAAGATAATGATTATAATAATTCTAGTAAATTAAAAAAGAGAACTGTGTTGCCTGTAAGAACAACTAAAGCTGAGATTGAAATCATTGAATAAATGAGGGCTTCATTCATTTAAACAATTTATTTTAATTATTATTAGGTTTATCCTGATAATATAAAAGGATTTCCTAGGTTTATTTCCTTTTTGAGTTTTTTTAATTCTAAATTATACTCATTAAAAATAATAGATCTATCAATTTCAATTCTTAATTAAGGATTTTTGATAGATTGTTAAAAATAAATAATAAATTAAAAGGTAGAATTGTTTAAATTTTAATTTAAATTCTATAAAATTCTAATTTCCATTTTATATTAAGTTTAAGGTGAGATGATATAGTTGAAGATATTTTCAATTGATAAGGATTTCTAGAGTTAAACTGATTAGGTAAAGCTTAATTAAATAATTTATGTTTAACTTTTTTTGTCAGATTGATTAATTAATTTAAAATCAGGAGAATCAAGTAATATACAAATACTGTAAGAATTTTCTGTATTTTAACAATGAAAATCTTCTTCTAAACCACAAAAGAATGAACAACCATCCATAGGATTATTATTTCCATCATCGCATTCTTCATAATTACTATTTAGTTTACCATCACCACATAAATCAATACAAATTCCATTAATAAATTATTAATTTTGAAGACAATAAATTTCAATAATTTATGGTTCAATAAGTTCTTCAATTTTATCACACTATAATGTATAATTATTTAAAGAAAATCCTTCATCACATTCTAAACAAGTGTATCCTTTTTCACAAGTCTTACAACCATGTTAACATTAATATTAACATTTAAAACAACCATCATAAGGTTAATCATTGCCATCGTCACAATCTTCAAAATATTTAGAAACTAATGAATCCCCACATATTGGAACACATTTATCATCAGTAACATACAAGGCTTCCTCACAAATTTCACATATATTATATTTGCTACAAATTAGACAATAATCTAAACATTTAATAATACAGTCTAAACAAGTTATATCAGAGAGATCATCACATTGTTCAATTGAATATATAGCTACTTTGTTATCACCACATATTTAATAGCATTGATAATCAATTAAACTCCATCCTTAAATACATTAAAAGCAAACACCTTTTTGACAATATAAACATTCTAATTAACAACTATTTTGGCATCTAAAACAACCATCAAATTAAAAATTATTATTATCATCACATAATTCTGTTTCTACTATTAATCCATCTCCACAAATAGGTATACATTTGAATCTCTAAAGCATATATCCATTCTAACATTTTATACACTTTCCATATTCAAATTTCAAACAATTTCTATTAGATTCATATATACAATTATAACAACCATCATTTGATAATTAATTTCCATCATCACAAAATTCTTATCCTTAAACTACTTTATCTCCACATATTCGTTTACATATTTATTGTTAAATATCTAAAGTCCATCCATCTTAACAAATTAAACATATATTATTAATCTATTTTAAACAACCTTCATTGAAATTCTCTAATAAAATATCTTCATATGTGTAATAAATTTCGAAATCTCTTAATTAAATGAATTATTAAGGAGTTTGAGTTTTTATTTCTAGTTTTAATAGACAATCATTATGATTATTTATTAATATTTCTATTAATTAATTACCTAAACTAATTATTTTATTTCCAAACATGTAATTTATTACCATTTTTTAATAGCCAATCTTAAAAAACCTTATTAGTATATCTTGATGAGGAGGAAGTTGAGTTTAATAATTTATTATTTAAAATTTTAAAAATTGACAATCTCCACATCCTAAGTAATTCTAATAAGTAAATACTCCAGTCCATCCCTCAGAATTTGTAATGCATGTATTATTCAATAAATTTTAATGTACCTACCAATATAAACAAATTTTTGGATTATTTTCAATACAGGATATACATCCATATAAACATTTGGTGATAGTTAATTTTAGTTTTATTAATCCTCCTCTTTTTAATTAAATTTAAATCCAAGCATTTCTTCTATTATGTTAATAAATTTAAGAAATTGTATACGTATAATGTAAATTACCACATATAAAAGTTTATGATGATTCTACTGATTCTGGCTCTATTTATCTCTCATCTAAAAACAACTTAGGTTCTTGATTATTATTTATACTTTTAAAATTAATAATTAATTACCTTAAAACTTATGCATATATCTGAATGTGAGAATGAGATTCTAAATCCAAAAATATTCTGCTAATATAATCAAAAAAATATGTTTTAGGCCCAAAATATTTTATATCTCCATATTATTTGAAATCGCAGCCATAAAAATCTTACCAACCTTATTGTAATTAATAATTAGAAAATTACCATCTATATCATTAGCATTTGCATCAAAGTTATATATTACTGTTTGATGAGTTAAATATAAGCACACAATTAAAACTATCATTATTTAGAAATATTAATTAAATATTTATTAGATTTATAGTAAACAAAAATGCACAAAAATTCAGATGAACATTAAATTTAAATGAAATTGAATAATTAAATGAGATTAATAAGAATTCATGTTATAAAATATTTATCTAAAATCTAAGTATGATATTGGATTTATATATTCAATATTATATATATTATATTAAGATTAAATTTATATTTAAGGGCAATTTTAGCTCATAAATAATTTCTGCTAAATTTACAAATTTAATTCAATAAATTTTATGAATCAAACCTTTGCTTATACAAATAAAAAACAAACTATTCATTATATAATTCAATTAAAAGTTATCAATTTATATTATTTTTAATTGAAATCATCTAATGTGTGTTAATTAAGTTTATTTGATATATTCATATTTTTTCTAAATATTATTTAGATTATTAATTATATAAGAATGTCAATTATATTATTTCTTTTCTAATTTACTATTAAATTTAATATAATAGATTTTACATAAGGTCTATCTTCTGATTATTGCAAAAAGATAAAATGCTTCCTTTAATCAAAGAGTTTTGATGTTTAACTGCTCTTCAAACTATCGAGATGAATTAAAAGAATATCATTATTGTAGAAAATTTATTTATTATAATTTAAGGTCATTATAATTTAGAGCAATGAACAGTTCTAACTTTTTGTAATTTGTTCGTTTATTCTTCTTTTAATACTTCCAGATTTTTATGTCATATTATTTTTTTTTATTTTTCAGAAGAAAGTAATAATTAAAAACCCTAACCTATTAAATCATTATTGAGATTTAAAAAAAAGTCTACTTAATTTAAATATTTTGCAAGATAGCAACTTCTAGCATTCTTGGATTTTTTAAAAGAATTTATTAAAATTCTGGGATCTTGAGAATATAATAATGATTATAATTATCTGTATTTAAGTTTTCTTCTGGATATATAAGATATTTTTGTTTGCAATATCCCTATGCCATAGTATATATTGCTTTCTATAAATTCTTATATTTCATTCTCTTAACTTTTAGTTTTGAGTAATTTTTTATAACTATGATAATTTGGCATTTAATTTTTTCCCTCTACTATACCTTTCCTATTCATTTTCATAAAATTATTACTCTAAAAGGAAAAATGTAATCAACTATATACATATCATAAATTTTATGAAATTTCTTTTTTAAAGTGTATTAATATCAATAAAAATTTTGAGATTTCTTAAATCATATCAATTTAACTTATAAATTAGTTTTAGTTAAATTGTCTTTCGGTAAACAAGACTTCAATCTCAATCAAATTCGTAATTACTAAGAATACTAAATAAAAAGTTATTCAAACACAATTTAATTATTGTAATGGATGTCTCCAAGTTTTTGCAAAAAATTGAAATATTAAACTTATTTTTTAAAATTATTAGCTTTAGAGAACGAATGCAAGTTGAAAATAAATTCTTATTAGGCATAGAGAAGGATAATTGAATAAATTAAATGATTAAAATTGATAATTCTAAAATAAATAAAATTAACTTAGTTAATTTAATTTATTTCTTTGATTATTTTATTGACTATGAATTAAGATAAAATTATATTTATTATTTATTATGCACAAAATTCATTGTTCTAAAATTTTTTTTAAAATACTAATCATTTTTGATTCATCATATTTATAGGAAATATTTTTATTAAATTATTTCTCAAAACAAAACTTCATAAAATTACAAATATGATATCCGCAAGAGTAGCCATCTCGTTACTAACCTGATTCTTCGTGAATTTTCTTTTATTTAATGCTTATCTTAAAAATAACCCTTAAAGTTGTTATTAATTATTCATTAGATTTATTTTAATAATTTTACTTTGATGTAGAGTCAAAAATTTCAACAGTTTCTGATTCAGCATCAAATAGCAAAAAATACCAATGATAATTTCTTTCATTGATAGGTAATCCTATTTTTTTATAAATTTTTGTTATCTCTAAATTCATTTATGAATATTCAAGTAATTCTTATTTTATTAATTTTTCTGCTTTTTTATTATCATATTTATAACCAAAATTTGTAGTTAAACTACTTGGTAAAAATAATATTCTTTTAATTTTATTCCTCTCTTATTAATTTTATTTAAAATAATTTTCTTCACCTTCTAGATTAAGATGAAGAACATAGCTATCAATAATAGAACTAGTCATCCATCTTTTGTAGTCTAAAATAGCAATATCATCAATTGATATTTACTAATTATATTTGCACCATATCTATAAAACCTAATTTGTTAGCTTTCTAATATTTCTTTTTTAATTAACCTACTCTCCAGTTTCTGTATCAATAATAATTATTTAATGTTATTTTTTATTCAAAATTTGATTTTCATTGTTATTTATCTTATTTTCATTTAATAATTTTCCTTTTTTAAATATACCATTGTGTTTAATTATTTCTGACTTCCCACAATATTCTACACCACTCCCATCTAATAAAAATTTTTTTTTTTCTAAATTTACCAAGAAAATCCCTTTTTATATTGTAAATGTTGGATTTTTATTCTGATCATAATCAGTTTTGTAAATAATCCCTTCAACTTCATAACTACGAGATTGCTCTTATGATTATAATTTTTTCATATTTTTTTTATCAAAATAAAACTAAATATTTTAGAAAAGCAGGGCAAATTATTAAGTCTCCTTTTAATTATTCAGGCTTATAAGATCGAATCCATAATTTATACAATCTTGCTGCCATTAATTATCATCTTTCTAATAAGAATTAGGTAAAGTAGTTTCTCTTCTTAAAAAATTATCAAATTATGGATGTGTGCATGAATTTTTTTATGAAATTATCGAATTCTTGTATTAATATTTAGTACTTATTTATGAAAAAGGATGCTATAAGGTGCATGCCTAGGTATTATAGAATTATTAAGTTCTATCATTATATTACTAATAGCTATATTTTGTTGGTTATAGTAGAAGAATTTCAGATTATTAACTTACTTACTCTGATTTATCTTTACCTTAATCTAAAAATAAAAAAATACAATTAAGGCATCCCATTGAATATTAAAATTTTATTTAAAATACTAATTTAAAATAAGTCTTTAGCTATCAAAAATCGAAATAAACAAAAAGTTAGAGAAAAATAATGTTTTATTTATATTATTTAAATACACCTATTATACTATCTTTTATATATTGAACCATCATAACTTCGTATTTTTTGATCAATTTCAGAAATCATTAATGAAATTTTACGAAATCTAAAATTTCATAATTAATTAATGAAAAGTAATACATAAAATTTCTATGTTTTAGAATTCCAATAATAAAGTACTCAATTAAATATTTCTTGTTTATTTATATTTTAAATACAAATCCTTCATATCTAAAAGCTGGATTTAATAGAATTAGATTTTCAATAGGAAAATATGGTTTAATTTTTTTTAGAGAAATATTTAGATTGTAATTTATCTTTAAAAGACATTTATGATATAATTGAGAAGAAAGAAATTATTTTTTTACATCTCTTAAGCAGAACATATAAAATTTGTGCTTAAATTGAAATTCGTTACAATTTTATTCGCATCTTGAACATTAAGAACTTTAAATTCTTATAAGATAATCAAGTAAAATTTTCGATTATATATTTAAGTTTAAGTCTACTACAAAGCGTAGTTTGTTTAATAAATTAAAATTTTTGAAATAAGTATTTCTTAAGAAAGTATATTAAAATGTATTTATCGAGTCTCATCAAAAAAATAGATTAAGAGTCTATTTGATAGATATATTTATAAAGAATTCTTAAAATTATAAATTCTATTATCAATAATCAGATATAAAAAGTTAGTGGTAATTAAGATTTATGTTGAAAAATTTGGAATATCAGATGGCTTCTCTGATTTTTTACTATATTGATAATGCTTCATTTAAAATAGTATTCAAAAGCGCTGAAAAATCCTACAAATGTTTCTATTTAATGATTTATCTAATATAAATTTTGTAAAGGGCTTATATCGTTTTTCAAAAGAGAAAAATTGATAACTAAATATAGTTTAAAAAAAATTTGAAGTTATTTATTTAAGATCGAATTTGATTATGATTTTAGGATTTTTTTTATTTTCATTAAGCAAAATGTTGAACTCAATTGAATAAATTGTTAGGTTAGTTTTTTGCTTTGTTATATGAATAGAAGTTTTAGTTCTAAACTTCTCATTATTGATTAAATTGGCTCTAAAAATCTTTTGATAGATAAAAACTATTTTATGCATCGAATAAATTAAGATAAGTAACATTAGTTTTTTGAAATTTTAAAACAGTTTCTAAAATAAAAATAAAATGAGACTATAATATTCCAGGAAGATTAAGAGTCACAGTGAGAGTTAAAATTAAAAAAGTCTAACTCCAAAAAGGACATTAGAACCTTTTAAATTTGTTATTTATTTCGAACAGTTTGAAAATGCAATTAAATAGGGTTTGCCTCAATCCTAATCAATTTAATTTTATTTTCTAGATGACAGATTATAAGCTTTAACAACACAATAAAAAAAGAAATACCAAATAGATTAGGAGAGCCTTTGAGGAATAAAGAAATAATGTGAGTAGACTCCTGAATATAATCGAAAATATATGTATAGAAAAGGGCCTAAGTCTAAATACAAGAGAATTATAAAGAAATAATTCTATTTACGAATAGATGGGCATTTATATGGTTGCCAAATTTGCACTTGAAATAATGAATACTTCTAACTTTTTACGAAGAGAATATAAGAAGTGAATTGTAAATGTATAAGAGAAGAATAATGATAAGTTAATGATTTAATATCATATACTTAAAAGTTATAAATAATTTAGTTTTTTTAAAAACCTTTACATTATGTTTATCATTTAAAAAAAAAATCATAGTTTAGCCTATCTAAACTTATATTAATAACATCATAAATTGATTAATTCCTTCTAAAGAATAAGACATAAATATAAATCTTAAATCTATTATCCTTATATCTATATTACTATTCTTATTAATCAACGAAGTAATGATTAAATTATGGGTTGCGTATGATCAGCTTAATTGATGGTAGATGTTTTTTCAATATTTCGGAGTTTTTCTTTCTTGCTAAATTAACGATCTCAATTCTCCTTATTTATCTTAATTAGTGATGGCATAAAATTTAATTGGATAATTTTCATTGCTTAGAATTTATTAATTTTATCAATCAATACAAATTATTTTCTTGTAAATGAAAATAATCAATATTTGAAGCTTAAAAAATTTATCATTAAAATTATAAATTTCAATTTTTGGAAAAATGATTAAAAAATTAAAATTTTCTATATATTCATATTCTTGAAAAATCATCAAAGATATCCTCTAATTTACTCTGGATGACAAAAAAATGGAATCAATGATGAATTGGATTGAGATTCATGCCCTTTATACTTCCTGCTATGAACCTATATTTTATTAATCTGCCATAGATTTTAAGGGGTTTTATAAGGAGTTAATGAAATTATAATATTTCCGTCAAAGATAATGAAAACTTTAATAATTCGGATTACATTTATATCAAAAAAAAAAAATAAAATTGAGCACCAGCAAAAAAATGATAAGAAGCAACTGGTTAATGATAGCTGCAATTTTTCTAAATCTATAGATTGATTCTATTATATTAAAAAGAATTCTTAAAATCATAATACGAAACAATTTGCCATTGAATAAACTGATTAAAAATATCTAATTCCCTAAAAAATAACATTCTAAAATAGCTTAAATAAAAGTAAATTAAATTAAGTGTAAACTTCTAAAATTCTATAGCTAAATTGAATGTTTTTGTCCTAATCACAAAATATTCAAAAAAGTTTAAAGGATTTGCTAAAATAAATATTAAAATTTACTTTGATTTGTCTTTGAATATTTTAGTATTACTTTAATACATATATTAATTTTTATCTAAAATATTTGGTGGATTCAGGCTACTTAACTAAGTTTAAATTCTTATTTTTATTTGAAATCTTTATGTAAATGATCGATATATATAGTGATAAATATTATTATTAAAGAACTTGTAAATATTCTTAATACTAATAAATCTTCACTTTTTGAATTAATGTCAAGATCAACAATTTATTCATTCTTAGTGTTTAAAATTATTTAATTAAATTTAGTTGAGGTTATCCAAAGTCAGCTATATTATTACATTAGCAATAAAATTCAATGATGTCTTTGTTTTAAACTTTATTTAAAATACATTAATTGAATTTCAATTATATTGTACTCATTACACTATATTTTATAATATACATTTTTAATTAATTTTAGTAATAATTTTAGGGATAAATTAGTAAAGTTAGTCATTAAGTTATTTTTAAAGTTAATTTTCAAGATCTGATGAAAATTTTAGCGGGTTAGATTAAAAATATTTAGATTCAAATTAAATTAAGTCAACCAAATAGTCTTCTTCAGATGGTTCAATCGTTAATTTAAAATTGAATTATAATTTTATTCTTCTTTTAATCTCCTAAAAGATCTCAATCCCAAAAATAATAATCTGATTAGAGCCAACCAAATTGTATATTAAATTTATTCTACAATTATATTAATATTTTTCAGCAATCCAACAACTGTTTGGTATATTGTTTCATTTTTTGCATTTACCACTGAAAAATCCAAATAAATATGATCAAGATAGTATAATAGATTAATTAAGCCATCTTGAGTAATTTAATATTATTTAAAGAATTCTTCATTCCTAGAGAATTAATTTTAATTAAGTTCCTCTTCGTATTTTTTTTTCATTCTACTAAAATATTGTAGAGTTTTATCTAAGTTATTTCTTTTAAATTTAAGATTGTCAATCTTTTTTGTTAAACTAACATTGCGATAATAAATAAATGGGTCGTATTTAAATCATAGCAGATTTTTTGAAATTCTTCATTTAATAAACGAGTTTAAGGCTTACTGGATGCTGTTTAGATTAAAAGTATTTCTATTATTTTATTGCCTAAAATTTAAGGATGTAATCATTCAGATCTGGCAAACTCAATGAATAAAGAAAATAAATAAAAATTCTATTATGTAATTAATCACATTTTTTATTAAATGCTTAAAATGGTAATTTAATTTTGCTTTATAAATTAATTTTTTCAAATTACATTTAAGTACATGTTATATTAGCTGGTTATGAAATAACTTTTTCAAAAAGTTCAATAATTGATCCTCCATTATCATGTACTTCTATTAAAATTAGAGTTTTGGAAGAATCTTCAGAAGTAGGTATCTGAATTGAAAATGAATTTTAATTCTCAAATGGATAGAGAATTAAGGAATAATCTGATGCTCCATGTTAGAAATCTGTTAAATCCTTTTTTCTCAAAAGTATTCTAAGTTAATATTTGTAAGAAAGATTATTTGATTGCTGACAAATAGTTGCAATTTAAATATTAGTTAGAGCTAAGTCACTCGAACGAATCATAAATAATTTTAAACAAATAGGACACTAATTGATACTTAATTTGATATTTAAACTTGACATAATATAACTATTTATTATTAATTTCTAATCTTTATTCTTTAGACAGTAAATTTGAGGTTGACATCATTTCCTAAAGTTAATTCTTTAAGACTACTAGATAAATTAAAGGTATTTGAAAGATATTTTGGTTAAAGTTTCATTGAATTTAAACTACTTTTACTATATTTCCAATATTTCATAATTGTATATTATTGTAAATAACAAATAGGAAGATTTTCCAGCTAAATAAATTTAAAGGAGATCTCCCTTATGTGTTTATATTGTAAATTCAGAAAAAGAGTCAATGCCAATGAAATTTTAAATTTTAATTTAAAATTTTATGGCTGCATCACCTGGTAAAGTACTTTCAGGTATCAATAAATTTTATTCTTTTAAAAATTTAACATAGTTAAAGAACTCATTAAAAGTCTAATGATTATCATTTCCATTTACTTCACAACTCCAAATAATATTATCTAATTTTCTTAATCCATTATTTTTGATTGATTTTTAATTTATAGAGTTTTGTGCAAATGAATTGAGTTTATAAAGATTTACATTGTACTTAATTTCAGGAGAAAATGGATTTATTGGCAACTATAAAGTTGTAAATATAAATTTGTGAATAGAATTTTCACAATTTTTTATGTGAGATAATGAATTACAATTGATTGAAGATATTTTCATATAAGTTAAGTTAAAAATAAAAAACAGATGCATCATCCAAATCACCAACATTTATTTTTGAGTTTGATATCAATATTTCCTGATTATTATTATCGGGGTTAAGGTAACGGATATCATTTGAACCAAAACTTTCCACAGATTTTAATTCAAATAGTTAATAGCATTTATTGAGTTCAAACTACGAATTAAATCCTTTTGAATTCAACAGAAAATCAAAATGAATGATAATCTTACTAATATCGTCAAATAAATAGGTTTTAATAACTGCAACTTGACAAGCTAATTAATATGTTGTAACTTATTTACTTGAACACCAAGGAGTATTTTTATACGAAATTGAATTTGAAGGTTTCCATACCTTTTTGTAAATTTAAAATTAATATATTTCTTTTAACTTGTTTCTTTAATTTATGAAACAACAACACACATCTATTCATATTTTCACTTTTTTAGGTGCAATTTTTTATTAATAATACTAAAGCTAATTTTATTTAAGTAAACATATCATCATGAGATTCAATTGAATTGATTTATCGATGATATTTTCATATTTCTTCAATATTTGGATTATATAATACCGTAGACCCCTATTTAGAATTTATTACTAGATATTAATTATTAAATCAAAAAGTCTTTTAATGGAATTCATTCAAAAATTTTCAACTTCAATATTTATTCAGTATACATCTATTTCTTTTTAGGCACAGTTTTATCCCTTTAAAGTCAAGCCACCAATATTCTTATCTGCGAAATCTATAATAGTAGTTTTTATTTGATCTTCATTTAATTGTTAATTTATTTCTATTTCTGTAAGTTTTTTATATCTTTTTATATATAAATATAATCATTAGCAATAATAGGGTTTTTGATAAATCTTACCTTATTATTTTTTAATTTATCTTTTTCCTTATAAAATATTATGAAATAATTTTTGATGCACCACCTTTCATGATTTTTGTGTTATCCATATGAATAATAAGAATCGTCCAAAAATTTTGTTTTCTTAATCAAATTTAAAAACATCAAGATGAAAGTAAATATTTAAATTCTCTTTAGGGTGGTTTCTAATTTATTCTTCCAATGATTGTAAAGTGTTTATAACATTTATTTAGTCTTTCTATATCATTTAACATTTCGTTTTTGTTATAATCTTGTAACCCAGATATCATTATTATTTTTTACCATGTCTTTTACCTAATCATTATCATCAAGCAAAGCATAAGTTAGATTAGTTTTTAATTGGTATTTGAAATAATCTTTATCTACCTACATTTTATTGTTTACATAAAATTAGATATTCTCAAGATGTGATTATTTAGTTAATAAAACAAGAATCAAACTAGGTCCCTTTTGTAATTTGTATTTTTATTTTTATTTTCAATACTATTATATTAAGTAATAAATAATTTATTGAAATTTTTAGCATTAATATAATTTTATTCAACCACATTATTCAAATTATTTTATTTTTTTGAAATTTTAAGTTCTCGAAAATATCGATTAGTAATTCTATTTTTAAATAATTAGTGAAAAGTATGTCACATTATTATCTTTTCTTTTTTAGATTATAAACAATTCATTTTATTGACTATTATAATCTAGTAAAATTAATAAAATTAATTAAATTGATGATTATCTTAAAATAAGGCTATAAATAAAATGGAATAAATGGATAAGACTCTTAGATATCATTTATGTACAAATTAACTTTAGAATCCAACCATATGTGTTTGTAAAACTAGTATTAATAAATATCTCAAGAAATATTTAATAAATTAAACTTTACTATAATAATTTTATTAAAATTCTACAATTATTATATTTTTAAATATAGGAAATATTTAGAGAGGCTTTATGAAATTAAAGAATTTTCATGATATTATAAAGGAATTGAGTATAAGATTAAACTTACGAAAAAAAATACTAGCTAAACTTAAAATAGATAGACTTGAAAATTCTAAGTCAAATTAAGTATATATTTTTATATTAGCCTCATGTAATATCTAACATTCTAAGCTAAAGAATATTATAATATAGAGAACCTCTTAGTTAAATTCAAGTAAAATTAACAAACTTCCTGAGATATCTTACATACTATATAGATTGATCTATCAATCTAATCAAAATATAAATCTTTTTAAATACTACTCTTATTTTTAAAACATTAATATTTTTAATTTATAGTAGAAAGACTTTATCATTAAAAATAACAAAGAGTTTCAGTCAAGTCTAAAACAATATTAGATGCATTAATAAATATTAATCATTCATATCAATTCATCGATCAATAAAAGAATTTTGTATGTAAACAATTCTTCCAATTTATCATCAACATATTGATTTATGATTTTAGGAATAGCTGCAAAAATAAAATCATCAATATGTTAATTATTGGAATGTAACCAATAAGTATTATTAAAATATTGAACTTATTAAGATTTTAGGACTGAAGTGATAATCTCTTATTCAAGTGTACCAATTTCTTATTTTGTTATTTCAAATTTAAAATATTCATCATATTTTTTTAAAGATTCTGGTATCAATATTTAAACTTTTTATTTAAGAATTTCTTTTATTTTAATTTCTCTTTTTTATAAATTATTCCCTAATTATTAAGCTTGTATAAAATATTCTAATTTAACTTTGGAGTATGATTCTAAAAGTTTACTTATTATTGGAATTTGTTATTGTAATAGAAAATCAATAACAATTTATCCATATTAACTTCCAAATTCAATTAGATTATTTAAATCTGTTTTAACTTTTGAAATAGCTTTTTCTCTCTAAGATCCAATAAAATCATTAATTTTATCATCAGTTTCTAATGTTTAGACTGAATTATTTTTTTTGTCATCTTCATATTTATACTATTTTAATGTTTCTTAAATTTGTGCGAATATTTAAAATGTTGATGATGAATTTTATTTACATAAATCCATAATTGGTTTTATTGTCGCATTATATAATTCCTCTCTTTTATGAGGATCTGTCCATTTCAAATGAACTCGATTGAAACAACGATTAATAATAATTTAAATAATTTCTTTGATTTTGATTGATGCTTTAATTGGAAGTGAACTATCTTTTTTTTCATAAAAAGGACATTAATATCCTGTGAAATGTATATGATAATACAAGAATTAATAGATTATACTAGGATAACTGTTTTCTTATAATTGTAGCCAAATTCTGTTTAAATCAAGATAATAATGTTCAATACCTTGAGATTCAATACTTTATACTTTTTTTATTAAATCGAAGATCAAACACAATAATTACCCTAAATGAATTCGAATAAAATCTGATTACTAAAATATAATGAATTATATATATTACTATCCAAAATATAAAATCTGATAATCTAATACATTTTATCCGATTCATTTTATAAGTGATTGATTTATACTTATAATCTAAAATCACTTCTCCAATTTTATCAGTTTCTATGGCTTTTTTGATTTCGTCTTCATTTTCAAAAGAATAAATCTCTTCAGAGTCATTAAGCTAAAACATATTAAAAAATTTAATTTCTATTAATTAATAATTATTTAGTTATTAGAATAGTATAGAAAATAGCAAACAGCAAATATTGATTTTCTTGAAGTATTTATTTAATTTTCTCTTAGAATCATATTAAAACTTAATTTAAAGTATTTTTTTATTAAATACTGATAAAAAAATTTGATTATGAATAAATATTTTGATAATTGTGAGGAATTGTTGAATTAATATATTAATATAAATAAGATAATATAAATGTTTATTTTATAAAAAATAAAAATTTATTCTTCAAACATTTTGGCTATAAATTTTCAATATAATGATGTCGCTGATAAAATAACCATAATTTTAGAAAACTAAATAAGTAGAAATTTATTCAAAAAAAATAATTTATTCTCTAATTTGATATATGTTTTATTTAACTTTATTCAATGTATATATTATGGTTAGAATTTATAGTATATAAATATTTAAAATAACTGTCTAGCAATTTCATTGGTGAAAGCGAAGGCAAATTTAAAAAATCTGTATTGTGTTATGTAATTTAATAATTTTAAAATAATATATTTTTTCATTCATTCATTTATTTCTAATTTATAGTTTTCAAATTCTAAATTTTAAATTATGTTTGATTCATTTTAGTTTTTGAAAATTAAATGAGTACTATTTCAATATGATGAAGGAGATCAAATAGCTTCATAAATACTTGACAATAAAAATTATGATAAAATATAATTAAACAGAAATGGAGACAAAATGTACCTATTTTATCTCTTATAATCTAAATTAATAAATGTTAGAATTTATATTGGTGAAAAATAATATTTCATCAAGATCATAGCCAATATCTAAATAATTATTTATTAAACCAATATATTAATTTTTCCTAATACTATGATAAAAGTATAAAGTCAATAAAATAAATCTATTTCATTGACTCAATATGTATTTTAATCTATCTCAATATAAGTATAAATAAATCAAATAATCAAAACTTAACAAAAAGAACTGAAATATAAATTTATTTATCCTAAATTACATATCATTTTTATATAAAATTCAGTTGTATTTCCCACCTTAATTGTGCATAAAATTCTACTTTAAGACTTTGTCATAGTGACTAAAAATTGAGAGGCATTGCAAAAATGAAGAAGTATCAATTTATTGTGGTAAATGGTCACACTTGGAGAAATTTAGAGAGAAGTAGAGGCATTTTTTTTTGATTTATTTGAAGAAGAGAATTCGAGTTTGAGGAGAAAACTTTTGAGACAATGATGTACGAGATTAAAAAAATGAAGTCAGCGACAAACCTCCAGAAAAGCTGAATAGAACTTAAGGAGAATTATGATTTTAAATATCTTAATTCATTTTTAATTTTATTATTCATATTAATAGAAGGATTATATTTTATTTAAGTGATTTATAAAATAAATTTTGCTTAATTGTTTTCTAATTTATTGAAATTTTGGTTAACATCTATGCATCTCGGCTACTGATAACTTAATAACATATTTACTTACTGAATTAATTTCTTGAAATTTCAAACATTGTGCAATTATTTATATTAATTATTTTTAATTTCTAAATATATATTGAATGATTTCAAAAACTATAAATATAATATTTAATTGAGATTATAACTTCTATTTTTTGTTTGTTTATTAGTTCCTTTTTTATTTTCATTCCAAATATTCCGATAAATAGACTTTTCTCTTCTAGATTCCTAGTTTTTTGAAGATGATTTTGAAGGACTCAAGTCTTACGATTTTCTTTTTGAATGTAAATAAATTACTAGATGACTGAAGAATGAGAAACCTTGAGAAAATCAAGAGTTGACTCATTAAAATAACATAAAAAATATATTAATGAGATTGGTGATGCTAAAATGTTATAAAGAAATAAAAATTATTTTAAATAAAAAAAGATCCATGAAAATTTTTATCAATGAACTATAATAAAAACATTTAAATTATCTGAATTATTTCTAATATTTTATAGTTGATGATGAGTGTTGCTTTTTTGAATTTTTATTATTAATAGTATTGCTCTGTTAGGTTAGTGGAATTGAAAGGGAATTAGGAGTATGATGTTAAACTTGTTTTAATTAATTTAAATACTTAAAATGATATGAAAAATGAAATAAATATACGAAATACAAAGATTTGTTCAAAAACCTACTTTTTAAAATATCTGAAATGTTATATAATATACATCATAGTCATAAAATTTATAATATAGTTATTAACTAATAATTTTTAATTGCAATAAAATTAAATGAAAATAAAAGAATTAAATAATTATAAAATGATTAATTACTTATTATAAGCACTGTGTTGAATGGAAATTACATTAAAATTATAATAATTGTGAGGAAAAAAGGATTTTATAAATTTTATGATAATATTATAGTATTATAAGATCACAATTAACAATTTAAAAAGTCATTGAATAATTCTTATTATCATTTATAATTAATTAAGAAGTAAATAAAATAAAATTCTCATTACATTTTTCTAGAGTTAGTAAGACTAATTCAGATTAGGTTTATGACTTTTTATATTAATATTGCTCATATAAAATAATATAAAATTTAAATCAATTTGATTAAATAAAAAAGTTGTCAGTAAAAATATATTTCATATTAATAATGACTTATTAACCATTATGAATGAATATAAATCGAACAAAAATTGTTTGGATAATTTCATAATTAAACATATGTAGGTTTTAACACCAGCTGATCTAAAATCAGATAAGAAAGTTATTTTATATGGAGCAACACACTGTCCTTATTGCTCCAAGGCAAAAGCCCTATTGACAAGTCTTAATGTAGAATTTGAATATAGAGGAACTGATGTGTCAGATTAATTTGAGAAAGAAAGAGCTGCATTAGGAAAACATTTAAATTATGAAACTATTCCTATGATTTTTGTTAAAAATTAATTCATAGGTGGAAATTCAGATTTACATGCTCTACATGAAAAAGGAGGTCTATTGCCAATGTTAAATTGAAAGAATTATTCACATCAATAATAATTTTATCGTTTTTTGATTTTCTATACCTTTTTGGGAAGGAATTTATTTATTTGTTTAATCTTTATTACAAGAAATCTTGAATTCATTTATATCTTTATTCTTCTCGAAAAGTATGAATTTAATTCAATATTAATCAATTATTAAATTTTATTAATAATTGTAGAAATATATATTTTACATTGATATATATGATTATTTAGGCTTGAAAATAATTGAATGAATTTTGATATTATTTTTTAAATTGAATCTGATAATAGATATATATTATATCAATCTCACAAAATAAAAATATAATAATTTGAATTAACATCTTTTCTTACACATCCTTTTGTAAATTAACAAAATGAATTATATATATCAATAAGAAGGTATAGAAAGTGCATAATTTTAAAATAATTTAGATTTAACAGTATCATTTATAGTCTCAATGTAATTATTTGCATTTTCATTTTCATTTTTATGATATAAATACCAAGAGCGGAAAAAATGAGAACCTTTTTAGATCCACATATATCAAACATAATGGTGCCTTAATTATTTTTAATGAACATTTCCACCATGGTGATTTTAATATTATTCACTTTCTTTGATTAAATTTGACATTTTAAATTCTCCTAACAACAAGGGATTAAGTAGACAACCTTTTTTTCTCTTGTTATCATGTTTAAGCTAATAAGTTTAAATATTCCATTAGATCTTATTATTATTTCTGTGATATTATTCTCCTATTTATTTTTAAAGTTGATCATCTATTAAACTTGGTTTTTCTTAAATTTAGATTGAATATGAAACTTTAAGTATATATCAGATACTTTTAGAATATCTTAAAAAATTATATAAAGAAAAAATCTAGTTGTTTTTTTTATCTACATTAAAATATGTGAGATTATTTAAGGATATTTAAGTCATTAAATAATTGGATTGATATAATTTATTTAAAATGATAAATGTCTGCACCTTATTTTTTTCAATTCTATAGAGATTATTTTTTTTGTAATAAATATTTTTAGTTTTAATTAGAATTTGTCATTTTCATAAAAGTCTTTTTTACTAATTATTTATTATCACATTATTAATACTCTATTGTGATTTTTAAGTGTTTGAATGGTATTAAAATATCTTATGAAATTAATTCTATATTAATGAAGCCAACTATTATAGTGTTAAGAATCAATTATTTTTCTTAGTAATTGGGTATGTATATTATAAAATCATTTACGATGAAAAGAATAACTGGTACAAACATATTAAAATTAGTTGAAAAAGATTGAAAAATTATTCATTATGTTCTTTAATAGATTGTATGTAAATTTAATTATTTTTTAGATTAATATATCTTATTGATGGAATATAGGAAATCTGAAATCGATTAGTTTAGTAGGATGTAAAAGAATATGGATTAATTAAATTAACGATAAAATAATTAGAGTATTATTTAAAATTAATGAGTAGAAACTTGAAATTAGGTATTAGTTATATAATAAAATGCAGGATAGATAGAGAGTGAATAAAAGACAAAAATAGCTAAGTTTTCAGGAGAGAACAGTCGATTATTTACATTAGTGAATGATGAGAATTAGATCTTTATAAATAAGATTGAGTATTCAAAAAGTTTAAGTGAATTGAGTATATAGAATCCATTTAATAAATAATTTGGAATAAGTTAGAATGAGATTTCATGCATAATATTTTCTTAATCAGAGAATGAAATAGTAAATGGCTGTAACAAAGGTATTTTAACATATTGGGATATATCAACGTAAAAAGGTATATAGATAATAATAGATATTAGTTGTATAAAATATAAAAGGTCATTTATGTGGTATAAGTAGTTTGAGTATATTTCCAAATGATAATAATTTATTAGTATCAGGAGGAATGGATAGTCAAATAAAGATTTGGGATCAAAGATAATAAAATAATGGATTAACATTGCGATCTCATAAATTATCAATAAATAGTTTAATGGTATCAAAGGATGGTAGATTATTAGCATCAGGTTCAAATGATGGAAGTGTAAAGATTTGGGATATAAATACATTATAATAATTAATATGTTTTAAGGAATCAGAATGGCCTATAAATTGTGTATAATTTAATCCAGTAGATAAGACAGTTGCAGCATCTTCTGAAGATGGTTGTATAAGATATTGGGATGTTAATAGTTTTAATTTAATATCACAAACAATTCCAGATAAGTAATTCATATATACAATGAAATTTTGTAATGATGGTAGATAATTATATTCAGCACAAAACTTTTCTTTAAAAGCATGGGATATGGAAAGAGAGGGTTTATTATTGGATTATATAGATAGTTAATGGAAGTGTATATTAGATATAAATGTTTTAGATGATAAGGAGATTATTGGCTTAACTACATAGAATTAAACTGGTTTAAGTATTTTTGGTACTAAAATCATTAATATTAATAATGAATAACATTTATATAGAAATTAGAGTGAAAAGGTTCGTGGATGTCAAAATAATTAACATTCTTATGAAAGACATAGTGTCAATGTGTTAAAACCTAAAAATACTAGCAATACAATTATTTTAGAAGAATAAGGACCTTATTATTAATGCAATAATAATCATAATAAATTTTTACCTACTAGATAAATTGATTAAAGAATCAATCATGAAAGTGTAATTTAAGAAGAAGACATCAAATAAAGTTGTATGGATTTAATTATTACACATGATGAAGTTAATTTATCTAATTTTGTTATAGATGATGAAAATAAATTAAAATTTAAATAAATGGATTAAATTAATGAAATCTAAAAAGATCATAGTAAAGTTATATAAATATTAAATTAAAGAATCAATTATATGAAACCCATTATACATTGGTGGAGTAATAATAATATAAAATCAGCTGTAAATGCTATCAATTAATTAAATGAACCTTCCATTTTATTTGATGCTTTAATTATGTGTGCTTAAAGTTCTAAATTTAAATCTATTCCTATGGAATAATTACCATTATTATTGGAAAAATGTAAAATATTGATAGAATCTAAATATTTATCTCATATTAAAGGTGGTTTACTTTTTTGTTATAAAACTTTCACCACCTACAGAGATGTAAAACTTTTTATTCATATTTTCCTTAGGATATTCAAACAATTAAATCTTTTAATCAAATGTCAAAAATTGATTTGAGTAGAGAAGAAAGAATTGCAAAATATGACAAAATTGTAGAATAATTGAAATTCATAATCTCTATGCACAAATTAACAAAATTAATTGAAAGAAATAAAGTTGAAGTAAGTGAATTAGCGAAAAAATTATAAATAGAAATGCTAAGTTTACTCAAAAGAATTAATTAATAATGAACTATTAATAATAATCTTTATTACATAATCACAATTATTTTCTTCAGTAGATTTCTTCTTTCAACTAATAAGTTTCTCTATATAAATTCTTTATATTTTATCAATACTTATTAAGGTAAGTATTTATTCAATGGATAAGAGTTAGGAAGGTACTCTAGATTTATAAAATACTCATTTTTGAACATAAAGTAATCATCAGAGTTAGCTTAATTACTTAATTAAGACTATCCAATTAAAATTTAAATATAAAAATATAATATTAATATTCTATAAAAATATTCATTTAGAGTAAAAGTTATCATTTCTAACATGGCAACCAATCATTTTATGATTCAATTCCTAGTATTATAAATCTCCAGTATTTCCCTAATAAAAATTTTTAAATTTTATACTTAATTAATAATTTCGCTAAATTCATCATCTGATGTAAATGATTCAGATTAGGGCTATACATTATCATTCATCTATTATTATTATTATTTTCCTTGATTTTTTCTACTTTCTTTCCATTTTTTGAATTCTTAGGACTAAAATACTTAATTTTAACTATGTACTTATGATAGATTTTTAATAATTTCAATAGAAACTCCACTAAAATTACTGACTAAAATTCCTTATGATTATTGTTTAAGCGTAATTATGAAACATAAGTTTGATGTATAATTGTCTAATTACAGATAAATTTCATCCTGTTTATCTTGTTTAAGTAAATGTTATTTTAAAATAATCTCTTCTAGTTAAAAATTGCTAAAGAACTCTGATTTCAAAATTTATTAATGATGCATCAAATAAACAATTGTATCAAGTTATTTATATTCTAATATTTTATGATTGCTTAATAAATCTTCACTCATTCTATTTAATGTTTCTAATTCTTGAAGTTTTTCAGGTATGATTTATCCTGATAACACTTACTATCTATATTATTAAGCAATTATATCTATTTCTTATAAAATATGTGCTTCATCTTAATAATTTCCAATTTTGAGATCTTAAATAATCTTTGGAAATTTATTATATCTTAACTCAGTTTAATGACTAAAATAATCAATAACATATGTTGAACCATCAGGTAATACTAATTTTGATCCTATTTAGCCTATTTTTATCAATTTTTCACCATAAACATATGGAATTATCTATTTTATAATAAATGTATTTACTTCTTTTTTATTTAAATATGATTTTAGATTGGATTCTTGTTACTCTTGTTCAGAATCTTTATTTATTTTTGTGATCAATTTATATTCTGATAATTCTTTGGAAAAGGAATCTTAGCTTGATGATGATCTACTGTCAAATGATTTATCTTATTAGATTTTTTATTTAGTTTGAACTTTACTAATTTATTATAGTTATGCAATTTATTATTTCTATTACTATTCTTTTAATTTTTATATTAATTAATAAGAATCATTAAAAGATTAATTTAATTTATCTAATTTCATATTATTCTAAGGTTATTATTTTAATGTAGTAGATTGATTTTAAGATTTTAGTTTTATTTTTTAAGGTTGGAAATTAATATTACTCTTAATTAATGGATTTTAATCTGATTATTTAACTTATTTGCATTTATCTTCACATTTTTATAATTTGCCATCTTAATACTTTTAAACTGCTTTAGCTGTAGTTTCAAGGTTATTTGAAGAAGAGAATAATTATCTAGAATAATTTGGAAACTTTTATAACTCTTTATATGTTGTTATAATTATTTACATAGCTTCTTCATATTCTATAATAATTAATTAAAATATATACTTTATTTATTTTTTACATGTTCTCCAAATTATTAATTTTCTATTTCTTTGACTCTATCATTCAAATCTTTTCTATCTTTAAAATTTGGTATCTATTTCATTATATTTAATAATTCAGTTCTTTTTTCAATTCTTTTTTATTCATATTCATTATCATAATTACATTTCTTAACCTTTTTAAACTTTTTTTCTTCAACATTACGTTGAGTTTTATCTTTTTCAGAGTATGGAACTATCTTTTTCTTTTGTTTTAGTTTAATTTTATCTAAATATTAATTAATATCATCAAATGGTTTCTTAGTTTACATATTTTTAATTTATTCTTATTTATGATAAGTAGAATTATGTTACAATTCCAATAATAATTATGATATATCAATTTTTCCATCAATAATAGAATGTCCATTATTTCCATTATTTACAAGATCAATTATTTTATTCATTAATTATTCTAAGTAGATTATTGGTCCTTTTACTTTTTCTACTAAAACCTTTTAATTATTTATTAAAGCTGAATCTAATATTTCATATCCTTAATTTAAAAGATTTCTAAAAGAAGAATAACCCAATTTACTTTATGATTCATCTTTAAACTAACTAATTTATTTAATCCAAATAGCCATTCTTATTCTTTCAAATTACTCACCCCATCTAAGATTAGTTTATAAATCTTAAAAATCTTTTATAGCTTATTTTGATTACAAATTATTTTCAATTTGTTCTAATTTTTTATTAAACTCTGAGTAATCTTTTAAGAAATTCTCTGCTTCAAGACAAGTAATGATACAATCATCATTTAATATCTAAATCTTTTTAACCAAATCACTCAACTATTTACCATTATGAAATGTCTTTTATTTTTATAACATCTATTTAAGACTTTAATAACTAATTCTCAATTATTCATATTAATCCAACCATGTTTATACCAATTATTTATCTTCTTACAAAGGTAGTTCTTCTAACTTTTCCATTATATTTTAAACTATTGTTTCCTTAGTCTTTATTTATGAATTTTATATTTCATTTATCTCCTTTTAAACTTATTTACAATCCTAATACTTTATTAATACTTCCTCTTTATTCTCTATCAATATACTTTAAATCTTCTACATATCTAATACACATTATTCCAATTCCTCAAATGTGTATTCTTAATCATTTATTACTTTATTTACTATATTTTAAACATTCTCAGCTATTGTTAATAACTTATTGAATTACTAAAGATACTCTTCAAATTCATTATTAGACTATTCCATTAAATTCATTAAACTTGTATATTGTTTTTTTGCCTTCAATAATTCTACTCTTTTTCTTCCCTTTATTATATCCTTAATCTTTGATTAATAAATTTTTATTTTCAACTCATCTAACAAAATCTCATCCTAAATAAAAGACTAAGTCAATCTTTAATACAATTGCGTATACATTTATATATCATCGTTTTAACAATTATTGAAATTTTCTTAAATTTCTTTGATTTATTAGAAATCTTAACAAAACTCTTTTGAAAAGAAATCATGTACCATATTATTTATTCTTTGCAATCTTTCTTCCAAATCAAGAGCATCTTATATTGTAAAATTGAATTTAAATTTTTGATTCACTTCTTGTTTTGATTTCTTTTTCTCTAAAAATGCTTATTTTCTCTATCCATATTCTCTAAATTTATCCACCAGATTGTTAAAGTTATTAACTTTTTGATTAATTATTTAAACTATAGCTGAATACTTTGGCATATGGGACATTTAAATAATTTCTTATAGCAATTTAAGACTCTCATAAGTATGCAATTTAGAGTTTTCAATTTCTTAAAATTTTGTAATGATTGTCATCCAAACATTATAGATTCTTACTTAATCCCATATCCCTCCTTTAATATTTAATGTTATTGAATTATAACCCTCAAACCAATCAAATAATTAAATTTCTTTAGGCTATTTATTTATATAATCTTGCAGTGGAACTATAATCAAATTCAATATTGATATTTATTGATTATACAATTCAATAAATTAATCCAACTTTATTTATTCTTGATTTTCTAATTTAAATTTCTTAGATATTACTGATTCCACTAATTGTAAAGATATTTCTGAATTTTATTCTTATAAGGATAACAATATTTTTGCTTACTTTTACCATAAAAAGCTTGAATATTATTGATAAACAATAGAGATTCTTTTATCTAAAATAGTTTATTATTTATTTAGAATGATTTCTAAATCAGATATCATTGATACTTAGTCATTTTTAAATATGATGGAAAATGGATTGCTAATTTAATTAATTTTGAATTGTAAATCTGGATTTTTATCATCTTCTATTTCCATTTCTTACTCAGGAGATTTGTATTTCTAATAGAACTCATATAATTATTAGACAAATTGGCAAGCTTTATTTAAACTTTGTAATAATTATTTTTCTTCAAATACAATTTTACTCTATGAAATATCTTATAAAAATGCTTTAGCTTAATCTAATTATTCATTTTCAAATATTTAATTTTCCAATAATTTTTGAATTTCTTTCTTTATTTATAAATATTTATTGATTTCGTTTTCAAATTGATTAATTATTTTATCATCAAAATTATATTATTTAGATCTTTATAAACATAATTCTAATTATTAATATGTTTATGTTTTTGATATTCTAATTTTTTCAACTTCCGAAAATATTTCTAATTTTTACTGTAATTCTTTGATTTCTGGAACATCAAATCTTTTATTCATTTATAATTCAGCATAGTATCTCTTTCTTAATTATTCATTTAATCCTTTTTAAAGTAAATTATTTCTTAACTTTTATCGAAAACCATTCATTTATTATTCAACTTTATTTAAAATTTGAATTTCTTTATGTGGTGCTTTAGTTTCTTTTTGTAGATCCTTCAACATTTATAAATGAGTAATAGAGATTTTAAAATTAATATCCTTATTTACCTATTATAATTCACTATCTTCATCATCATTCTCCCTATATTATTGATAATCTAGATCTTAAATGTATAATTAATATAATTTGATTTTAGATAAAAAACCATAATGTTTTGGAAAATCTTAATAATAGCAGAATAATTATTCCATTTTACTCATCAACATTTAAATAGCATTATTTGAATTATTCAATTTTGTATCCTCCAATTATCCAATAATATGTGATCCTTAATTTACTTCTTGTTCGATATATTGAATCCAAGAAACATTGATAGATAAATTTTAAATTTGTCGTATAAACTTATTAACATATTCGATACTAACTTTAAATTAATTTAGTTTGTGTCTACATTCAGATATTAGATCAAAAAATTCTTTATAATTTTGAATTGGAACCATTTCTAATTAAAAATATTTTTATAATCTCTTATAATCTTCAAGATCTTCATCTTCATCATCTTCATCTTCAGAAGAATCAATAATTCTATTAAATTTAGTTTCAAAATCATTAAATCTATTTTAAGATTATTATAATGTTAATATAAACTCTTTTTTTAATTATTTATATGTTGGTATTTGTTGTTGCAAATAAATGAATTCCTAATATACATTTGATTAATATTCCATTAATATAGTAGTTTTAGTAATTTTCTATTTCATTATAATGATGTCAAAAGCCTATTGCAAATGATTCAATTTTTGTAATTAATCTTCATAATATTTACATTCATCATAATCCTTAAATAGCTCGATAACTTATAATAGTTTAATTTTTAAAGCACTATTGTGTTGAATATTTTCAGGTATAGTATTGTTATTTTCATCTAATTATGATCTGATAAGCCATTAATTATCTTCTCTGTATGGTATTTGTTGGTTAAAAATAAAATTCATTAAATCAGACAACTTAGATTTCTCTTGAATTGAACTAAGCTATGTTTATAGAGAACTAGGGAATGGGAGATTAGATAAAATGGATAAGAGAATTTAATATTCAGTTTCATTATCTAAATAAGATTAATTTATTACATTATTAAATTATTCTCTGTAGAGCTCTTTCACAATAAATTCCAATAATAGCTATTTAAATGAAATTCAATCTTAAAACTTATGGAAACAATTGATTTAAATTAGAAATTGGATTAAATCTCAAGATATGATTTAATTTATTTTTTGCCCATTTAAGACAGAAAGGACAACAATAATTATCTTTGTTTTTTTATTCTTCAAAATCTTTTTAGTATTTTTTGACACATTGATCATGAAACCATTCAGTACAAGTTTCACATTAAACCATATCGTCTGTGTCTACTTCTTATTTACAATAACAATAATTTTTAGAAGATTTATGCTTGTAACAAATCCATGTTAAAATAGACCTAAAAATATTGAAATAATATTATTACTCTTTTTCTTCTTCTATCTTATCATGTTTAAAATATTGTTAAAATATTGAATCTAATTTAATTTATTTCTGAACTCCTTGTATTTTCATAAATTGATCAAAAATATTGTAAACATTATTTTTGAGTAATAGATTATTTCTATTAAATTGAATGTTATTATCAATAGTAAGTAATTATTTGTAATTAAAAGAGAATTACCATTAGTTATCTTTATTGGTTTCAGAATAATCAAGTTTTTAACCTCCATTTTCTGTTATTTTTTGTATAATGCAATAGATGTGAGCATATGCATTGCATTTATTACATTTGATGGTTCCAGTGTTCCCTTTACAATATACACAAGCTTTTGTATTCTATTTAGGTTTATCAGTGTTAGATTTATCTAGTTAATTTAGTTTACAAAATTTCATTTGAATAAATGAGATTATTTCTATTTGTTTGGAGAATTATGCACATAATGGATGTACAAATTCATTTGAATTATGCAGTTTTTTTTTGAGACCTAACTTTTAATTACATACAACACATTGTGAATCTTAGGGTTTAGATGATTTACACTTGTCACATTAAAAATACCCTTAATTAATGGAATTCTAAAAAATTTCAACTTCTGTCGATATACCATAACAATAGTAATGGCAAGTAGATAGACATCCATAACATGTGATAATCATCATACCTAAGTGTTAATAAATCAGTTATTAGTACCAACTTCTGGTTACTAGATTTGTCTATCAAATCCAATTCCACAAATTTCACAACATTCAGCCTAAAAATTTGATAATTTGATATACCTTTTTATTTTTGAAATGAGACTGTTTCTTTGGTCTGGATCCTATTTATGCCTTGTTTAAATGGTGTTATACTAAAGATATAATAGGAATTAAAATTATTATATAATCGTATATAATGGGAACAAAAGGAAATATATAACACACCTACTGAAAGATCTAAATGTTTATTCTCTGTTTCGTTCATTTCCCTCTCTTAATCTCTTTAAATATTTTAAAAAAATAATCAATATTTATTAACATAAGAAATCCTTTAAATTATTTATATTGCATATAAAATATTTGTCACTTTGGTTTTATCCCAAAAAATTAATCATATCTCTAATCTATAAACACACTTGCTCTCCGATTATACATTTATCCTGTTGTAGATCCTTACATTTCAGCCAAAACTTAAAGGAAATTGGCCAATATATGATGAAATTTAGCAGTTTCTAGAGCCCTCATTTATCCCATTCTTACAAATTTCTTAGCATATACTTTTATTCTAAAGTCAATCATCTAATTTATTTCATCTTGTAATTAATGATTCATAAATGCATACATTTCCCTTACTTCACTCAGTTGTTTTGTTTCATTTGGCAACATGTATTTAAATGCTTCTCCTTTATTAAATTACAGTTCTTTTACAGTCTTTGGAATATCAGGAGGTAATTCCCATTTTGTAGGATCACCTTTAATATATAATTGTTCCTTTTTATCATTTAATTGATTTTTTTAATTCAAATACTTCTATTGCAATTTATTCTTAGTTTACAAATAATCATATGCTGATGATTAACTCTTTTTATGATATCTAAAGAATTCATAAAAGTTTTCCTATATTTATATTTTTAATTATTACTTTTACGTTTTTCATCTAAAAATTCACTCCATATTACCACCCAGTTACAAACTTTGATAATTCTTAATAAACTAACTAAATTTATTCAATTGCTCCTTTAGATTTAGTTTATTTGATAAATCCATCTGTTAATTTATCTAATGTATTAAAGTTATCTGTGATTGATGTTAATGTATTGCTTAAATTCTCTAAATCTGTACACAATTTACTAAAATTATTTCCTGTTTTTTTATATATATCTTAAGAATTTTTAAGATAATCTGTCAAAGCCTAAGAATAATTCTATAATTCATTAGTAATTTCCAAAACACAAGAACCATTAGTCATTGTATATTCTTATGGTTTTGATGGCCCTTTTTATTTTTCATATTAATTGAACTTTTCTTTCAATTTAGAATCATCTGTAATTTCCAAAAAATCAGAAAATAAAGGGTGTGTTTTAAATAATGGATGATATAAGCAATTCTATAAAAATAATTCCATAATTCTCATACGCTTTTCTAAATATGCTGCACCAGTTTAAGATTTCCTAAATTAAATAAATATTTATATTACAATTTCTTTCCAGGAATTGGAGGTATTAAATGACATGGGTACGTCATTAATAAAATTTCTCTCAATTTTAAGAAATCAGTAAATCTTCTATTAACCACCCATCCAATTGGTTTTGTCTCAATTTTAAATGATATATATGATGATATGATGCCATCAGATTTACTCATATATTCACTCATTATTATTTCTACTTGCTATTTTATATAAATATAGGATACTTTATGAGTATTCTCCATTATATAATCGGTTAATTTTGTTCTCCCTGGTAATTAGCATTAGACTTCAGTAAAAAAGTTGCTATCATCTTATACTTTTGGTATCTAAAATATTTTATTAGCTGGTTCAGGATCATGTTGCTTAAGATCATTTGGTACATTTAATTCTTTTTAACTATATACATCATAAAGTATTTTACTCTTCCTTTTTGATAAAATCTTGAATTGTTTTCTATAATTCTTCATATGTCCATAAATCAATATCTTAGCTACCATTTTACTTTATTTATTCACAATACACCTGAAATGCAATAGTATCATATCCTGCATCTACTATTGATGACATTAATAAATCTTATTTTCTCTATCTTTCTTGTTCTATGTCTTACATTTTATTAATAATATTAATTAATCGTTAATGATTCCATCTAAAACATTCAAAGACATATAATCAACTAAGGCAATCATTTTAAAAGACTCTCCAAAAATGAAAAAGACTCAAAGTAATTATTTATTACCCAATAAATCTCAAAGTCATAAACTCAAAACAACTGGTTCTAGAAATGAATCAATCAAATTAAATAACAATTCTGTCTATTATCTTTAAGATAGTACTAAAACTTTTCATTCCTCTTTATGTATTCCTCACAATACAGATGATAATTAATATAAAAATGAGATGTATATTAAGCAGTAACTAATTATTGAATTAAATAAAAAAATCTCTCAATTAGAATTAGTTAATTGTAATCAATAAAAAGAAAACCAAGAATTACAAAATGATATATTAATACTTAATCAAACTATAGAACAAATTTGTATTCAACTTTCTAAAGAAAAAGAATTATCAGAAAATTTGTCATCATAATTGAATGAACTCTAAACAACATTATCTCTCAGATAAAAAGAAATCTCGTAATCCTAAAACCAAAATTTAAAATTAATGGCTTTACTTAAATCAGGTACACAGAAAAATGGAAAAGAAAATAATCCTGATTCTATTTAACATAATTATTAGGAGTAAATTAATATGTTAAAAGAATAAATTCAAATATAAAAATAATCCTTCTAATAAACAGAATCATCACTTTAAAAGCAGATCTAAGGACTAAACTCTTTTCTAAGTTAATTCTTCCAATAAGCAAAAAATGATACAGAATAATAAAAGTCAAGATTGTCATCTCAAAATGACACTGATATATTCTAATAATAAATTTAAAATCTCGAAGATGAACTAGTAAAGTGTGATTCGAAATTCCAGAACTTTTAATAGACATTAAATAATATAACGGAAAAATAAATCAATTAAATTACACAGAATGCCAATCTATCTAATACCAAAGAAATTTCAAAACTTAAATAAATTATCTAGATTTAAAAAAAATAAATTGAATTACAATAAAAAACTATTTTAAACCAACATTTTGAGATTTAGAATCTATAAACTTTATTATATAAGAATGAATTTGAAAGTATAACTGAATAAAAGAGGAACAGTGTTAAGAAAATTGATTAATTTATGTGTTAGGAACAAGGATATTCTCCAAATGATGAAATGTAATTTCTATGATTTTTAATTATTAGTTACCATCTAAATGATAGTTAAAGTGATATCAAGCCAAAGTATTTTTTAGATAGTATTTAAAATACTCTTTAAAAATTTTAAGTAATTACAGAAGAAAGTACTTTTAGATATTGATATTATATTTATATCATTAAATATTCATAAGTATTTAGCTTTTGAGTGAGGTTAAAATAGTTTAATGAAGCTACTAAGATCTAAACTTTATTATGTGATAAATTTAAACACAATATCTGCACTAGGATATCTTGTTTTGAAATCTGCAAATGATAATATTCCATCTCTATCAAAGTCTAACCAATTAAAAATATAATCTAATTTAAGAGCCAGTTATTAAAATTTTTATCTATAAAACTCAAGATGAGTGTATGTTTAAATTATCATGGCAATTATTCTAGCTTGAATTTAATTGACATGTTCATCTTGATCTTATTTAGTAAGATAATCTTTTCCAATCAAATTTTATAGTTTTAGTTTTCTATAAAAATATAAAATAATGATACGAAATATGAGCTTATTAAATTTATTAGTTCATTGAATTAAAGAATAATTCAACATCACTCTTTTTGATTTATTTTAGATCTTATTCATGTAAGTATTCTAATAAATTAATGACAGTTATATTGTTTTCAAATTTTTGAAGGTCAATATATACAATATTTGATTTGCATCTTTCAATATCACGTAATTGTTATGCAATTTCATTTATCATTTGTTAAAATATTTCTCTTTCTTCTATATATGAAATTGATAATGTTTCAATTCTTAGTTATATGAGAATGATATACTTATTCTTTAAAGTCTGGAAATCAAATTCTAGATTTTTATTTAGCTTGGTCATATATTCATAATGTTGTTCTTTTTAAATTTAAAAGAGTGATCGATCAGCTTCAGGAAGGTATTGTTTTTCTTAATAATAACAGTCATTATTATATTTGTAATTGGCTAATTATTATAAATAGGTTGGTTTGTTAGTATAGGATTGATAACTTAAGGTTGAATATGGATGATAGTAATGATCTGATTAAGCATGGTTGATTTTTGGTGCAACTTAAATGTTATAATTATACATAATTTAATATCTCACATATACATTGTTCTTTTTGCATATTTTTTTTTAATTTCATCTCTCTTTTCTTTATCTTATAATTTGATTTATTATTCTCTAGGAAGGGACATAATTTTTTATTTTTCCTTTAATAATTTTTCGGTTTTCTTTTTTTAGGCTTCCTAAAATATAGATATCAATAATACTTCAATTTTCTTTTGTTTTTCATCTTTCGATTTAATTTCTTCAAATTTAGCTCTTTCTTCTTCATATTATTGTCTGGTAGATGCTGATAATTTATAATTGGCTATTTTATCAACAATAATAAGAATTAATGAAATAAATTCTGTATAATCATCTATTGATTCAATATTAATTAATGTAGCTCTTAAATGATATGGACTAATATAGAGAAATGAATTACTTAGGTAGAAGTGTTTTTTAATCTGTAAAATGAATATTTTAGATGTATTTATCATACTTTCCTAATGCTGAACATAATTTGGAATCAAAAATAGATGTTAGAGGTTCTTTACCTTCACCTAATGTGACAAGTGTTAAACTATGATTAAATAAATGTATATACTGATCATCAATTTTATCAATGGATAACTTTTCACAAAGATATTTAAGATCAAGATTAGCTTCTTTGTAGGATTTGGCATCTCTTTTCTTTACCAATGCAAAACATATTGGTTATGGAATGGAAGATAGTGGAATATCAATAGTGATTGTATCTCTTTCAGGCCAGATAAAGGAAAAGAATAACATAGATAATAGATCTTATCTTTTCTTAAGATCAATTGTAACAGCAAGACAATTTAAATTGTTTCTTCCTTAGGCCATAAATCTAAGATAATATGAAATTGTTTACCCAAAAGAATTACTTGAAATCGATTGAAGTAATGGTCCATTCTCTTTGTTTGTAACACCAACCTATGTGAAATTACTCTTAAAGAAGTCATATGTAGTTGATGCAAATTTCAAAGCTAGTTTCTTATTTGTTGTATTTCCTGTTATGTACATAAAGATGTAGAAAAGGAAGACCAAAAATCCGATGCATTCATATGGGTAATTGTTTGGTAGTTGTTTTACAAAAGAAATATAATCAAACTAAATTTGTGTTTAATTATCTTCCATTTGATAAATTATTAATGAAAATTATTTAAGGATATTTATAAATATATTTTATAT